CTTATTTCTATCAGAGGAAGAAGCTGATTCTGTTTTCAACACAGAGAACTGATTTGGTGTTTGGAACAGTCTACCTGCTGCGGCTGTGTCTCGACCAGGACACCGGCATGGATTCAGGAATTTAAAAAGGAAAAGTTTTATTCCATTGTTATAGTTTTTATTTGTCATAAAGTGTCTCAATCAGAAATACCGAAGCTTTATATCGCTTCATTTTCATAATTGCATCGTTGTAAATTCTCTGTATGAACGTTTTTAGCTGGTGTTTGTTTTCTTTTTGCAGCAGAATGTCCAACTGATGCATCGCCATAAATTAGTCTAATCAAAACAACAGAAAATTCACTAACTAATCATTTTATTCAAGAAGCTGAGAAAGGATGATGATGGACCCAGCAGTGTTGGAATCAGATCAGAAACATTAGCATTAACTTTATTCATATTTAAAGGTGCAGCATGTCAGAATATAATGAGAACTTTACAGTAAGAAAATCTCAAAAGAGTCTAATGATTCATTTTGGAAGGAAGGTTGTACTGAAACATATTTCATATCCAGCTGGCTGGTGGATTGTCAGTTTTTCGCCTTTCAGCAAACAAAGGAGGGACGTAACTACTGTTTACCATCAGTGAGGGTGGGGTTGTCGTGTCTCCTGCAAGCTAAAACTGCAACGCCGACAATAGTAATTTGACGACGGCCGGCAAAACGCGCCAGAGTTGTTCAAGTGGTTGCAGTAACCAAATTTTACCACAGGATGTAATTTTTACTTAATTTCTACATACTGCACCTTTAATTTTCCTTAAACTATCATTAGCCTTAAACCACCGCTGTCCTAACATCTTAGGACTGCCATGCAGACCCGATGATGAAGCTGACAAGTTCACTCTGATTGAGCCGTGCCCTTAATGTCCCAGCAGTCTTGTTCCTGCACAGCTCTGCTCTGTACCATGTGGAGGGGTTCTAACTCAGCTCTGAGGCTCACTTTCCTGACCTCCATTGTTAAGACTTCCCAGATGATCCCATCAGAAACATTCCCCTCCATCATCCTCTACAGTAAACACCTAAAACCCAGCTCTCGTCTCGGATTATTACAGCAGAATTCTAAACAGAAATAAGTTGTTTATCTCAACAGCATCGTGGACGCAGCCACAATGAGAACACGCACGAGTTGAACTGTTAGCACATTGTTTCTATTTATGGATAAATGCAAGGGAAATTCTGCTTCTATGTTCAAATAAAAATGTTATTAATCATAATTCTTATTTAACACATTCTATGACAACTAGTTCTGGATGTGCATGTGTGATTAAAGGTCACCCTACTGTAATCATTGTCATCGTTCTGGTTTCTTCTCCCCATCCAAACCACATCACAGGGGATTTAGCCACGTTTTAAGTCGCTACCCACACCTTCAGCTGTTCTACCGGTTCCACACAAGCAGGAACCCTAAGACCCGTTTACGGGCTAACCGTGTGTGCTCGTTTATCTGCTCTAACCCTGTTTGTGGGGCTTTTTTTTTACGGTTTTATTTCAGCCTTCTCTTTGCTGTAAGAGACAGAAAAATAATATGCAGGTCTAGTTGTCATGGCAACAGTATCTTCCCTGTCTTCCTTTTCCCCATCTCATGTTATGCTTGAAGCCAGGTTTATTTTGACAGCTTGAGAAAACTGTATTCTGTTTTTAAATGATTAAACTTTGTGCCATGGATGAAGTTCAGCTGTTTTTCTTTACTAAGACACCAGAATGGGTTTCATGACAACAGAATGCTGTGTAGGTAACTTAAAAAAAAGTTAAAGTTAAAGTCCCATTATTTGTCACACACACAGGTGTGTGTGCGAAATTTGTTCTCCGCATTTGACCCATCCCTTGGGGGAGCGGTGAGCTGCAGACACAGCAGCGCTCGGGAACCATTTGGTGATTTCACCCCCCAATCCAACCCCTTAATGCTGAGTGTCAAGCAGGGAGGCATTGGGTCCCATTTTTTCAAAGTCTTTGGTATGACCCGACCAGGAATCGAACCCTGATCTCCCAGTCTCAGGGTGGACACTCTACCACTAGGCCACTGAGCAGGTGAAAACATATCTGTAGGTAGCTCAGCAGCTATGGGGAGGCCGACCACTTGGAGGAAATCACAGCGTCTGATAAATAATCCTTTTTTTTATCGTCACGAACCATGCAACAGGCTCCGTCAGGCTTATTTTTCTCTCTGTGATGAAAGTATTTGGTGCAAGAGATGGAAGAGGGAGGATAAAACAAAACATGAATTATGGAGGACGGGATGATGGATGTTTGATAGAGCTGAACAGGAAACTAAAGTGCAGGATGGTCCAGAGTTTCTTCTGATCCAGGTCAAACCTCAACCGCATCAAAGGCTGCCTCATCAGACCAGCATGGAGGTAATAGATCACTTGCTTTTTGGTCGATTATGGGGCCACGTGTGGGAGAATAAGCAGCAACAAGGGAAGAAGCAGATCCACGTGTTGCCAAGTTGCTGAGCTCCACATCCCTGAAGGCCTCCAGTGGGCACTGTGATGTGTGAGCCAAGGCCCGCCATGCTGGGAATCTCCGAGTCTGAATCAAACAGACAAGAAGCTTTCACAAGAACAAAGCAAAGGGTGGAAGGACTGAGAGTTGGCTTAAAATATTGAAAAGTCTTGAAATAGATCACCCCCTTCTGGTCTGGTTCAGTTGCTCTTAAAGCGATGGCTGATCGTTTATTTAGGAGAAGACTTTCAGTCAGCAGGAGATGCAACATCTGCCTGTTTGGAAAAAAAACTGCTAAAAAGAGGCGGTTCCTACCGACCTCACAGCATCTCATGCTAGATTTATAAAGCTGATCAAATTTCATCTTTACCTCATCTCAGCCTCACTTCTGTTGTAGTGCAAAAAACAACAACATCTTTTTCACTTTTTTTTTTTTACTGAATCTGCCTCTCGTTTCTCACATCTGTCCCCCTCCTCTCAGGCTGAATACGTCCTCTCAAAGTCCTTTGGGCTGCTAATCCACTCAGACGAGAATGCTGTCCTCCTTTTATTTGGCAGATCTGCCACAAAAGGGTAAAACGCAGACTATCTGGGAGTAAACATAAACAACACAAGACAGACACGCCTGTCAGCACACAAATGCAAGAGGATCGGAGTGGTGTCGCTTTCTGGAGCAACAGCTGTAACCGTGACTGAGACAGAGGAGTGATAAAAGAAAACAACTGAAAGAGCCAGTTGTGTAACACAAACGTTCCCACTGACAAAAATATGTCTCTGTTTTTTTATTTAAAAGGAGAAGCAGGAAAAGGAGAGAGCTGGTGAATAGCTGACATGAGGAGGAAAGGACACGTGAGAAAAGGAGGGAATCCGGTGAGATGGAGGAGGGAGGGGTCGTGATGGACGGCGACGAGGAGCTGAGCTGAGTAATCAGAGGTGTGGCCCGATACCAAAACCCAAATAAACCTAAAACCGTTGTTAATGGTGCAAAACGCTGACATTAAGCTGCTGTTTGGATGAAGGTTTACTGGTCAAAACCTAATTTCTAAAGGTAAAATATTAAAAACGCTCTCTTCATCCACATCTAAATCAGAACAAAACGTTAAAGAGCCCATAATTAAGACATTTCAACACATCTTCTCAGCATATGCATCGCCCATTTCTCTCATTGTTTCTTGTTAACATTAAAAAGTTGAATAAACAGACCTCAGTAAATTATCAGATATAAGTATTTTTCCTTTATGTGTAAACAAACGTGTTTCCTGGGCTGACCTGCACATGGATCAGCTGTCCTAAACACTTTTGCCAGGATCAGCTGCATAAAGAATACTTAAGCATTTAGCTTTTAAACTGAACTTGTCATGGTCTGCGTCTGCGTCTTTCCCCATGTGTCTCCTAATGTTTCTCCATCCCTCTCTAGATTCCCTTTTGTGTTCTCTTAGCGCCCTCATGTGTCCTTTGTCTGCATCTCTGTTATGTGTCTTAAGTTGTAGCCATTTAAAATCATTCCTCCCAGGTTCTGTGTCATCCAGTCATCCTCAGCCCCTCCAGTTGCAGTTCAAGCCTCTTGTTCCCCAGCTCAGTATGTGTGTGTGTTTGTGTGTGTGTGTGTGTGTGTGTGTGTGTGTGTGTGTGTGTGTGTGTGTGTGTGTGTGTGTTTGTTTGTTTGTCCTTCCCAGTTAGGTCTGGTGTTCTGCTCTGCTCCTCTCCTCATTAGTGATTTCACCTGTGCCAGTTCTCCACACACCTGCTCCTCGTCTCCTATCACTCCAGCCCCAGTGTATAAAGCCTCTCTTTGTCTCATTGTTCTTGTCAGTCCATTGTTGTTTGTCAGCGTTGTTGTGTTATTCTGTCAGTCTCGTCTCGCCTTGGATTACTTGTGTTCTTGGTCTTCTTGGATTCTCTAGAGTTTTGGATCTCCAGATCGTTTTCTGGAATTTTGGACAACTGGCTCCCTGCCTTGGAATTATAATTTTGTTTCATCCTTCAAATAAAGGATTTTTCCTTATATAATCTTCTGCCTCGTGTCATCCTGGGTTACTGCATTTTGGGTCCTACCAACCTCTCAACGTGACAGAACTGGAGAGTTAAGTGTCCCCTCTTGGCCTGGGGGGAACGTAGTACACGGGCCTTAGGTGACCAGCTAGCAGAGGGTGATAAAACATTTATTCAGCACTATTACCCTCATTTATTAACAATTACATTTATTTAGAGACCATGGCCGGAGGAAAGAAAAGCAACAGTAAGACATATATCCATGATTTCTCACTTGTAGAACAAAAAACGTAATTAATACTCATAATTTTGGAAGGCAACTCAGCTGAATTCATGGTGCTTTGGAGAAACTAAAGTACGCTCTTCTCTTCTTGGAAAGAGCATGACTCTATATTCAGAAACTAAACCACTGAGCAGGACTGATTTAGATCCTCACCCTGATAATTGATTATGCAAGGCAGCGGCCATTTTCCCGAGGCAGTATGCTTTAAGGTGAGGCTTAGAGGAGGAGGGGGTATATAAGTGACAGGGAACTGAAGCTGGGCACAGAGACTTCAGACGAGAGTGCTACTACTGAAACCGGTAAGATTTCACCTTCCTCATATTCTGGATTTACTCGGTTCTGCTTTGAGGTTGTTTTTTTTTTTACCTCAAATTTATGTTTTTAACTTCTCTGTGATTTCACTGATTCCATTCTAAATTCTGAAGATGCAACAAAGAGGTTAAAATGTGTTTTGTAAGAAAAGAGACACAAACATACCTGTTGTCAGCCATGATGTTAATGATCATTTTCAGCCTAAAATCTGAGTATGCATAAGAAATTCAACCTTCTACATCCCATTTAGGCAGTCGTAAAGGATGGCTGCTCAAACTGAGCCAGGTTCCGTTGGAGGTTAAAGGAGAGTTTTCCTCTCCACTGTCACTACATGCAACAAGTCAGTGACTCGATGCAGTCTGCTGGGTGTCCTTCAATCAATCAATCAATCAAATTTTATTTGTATAGCACCTTCTACAACATTATCCGAAGCCCAAGGTGCTGAACAACATCATTAAAAGAAAAACATTCCCAGTACATGGGCATAAAAGCAGGATAAAAACATAAAATCATAAAATATCAAGCAACCACTATTACAGATGAGAGATATCGGAATAAGACTAATCGATAAAAAAACAAATGTCGGACAAAATAAAATCAAGCATCTGGGTTAAAAAGAAGAATAGTTAAAACCATAATGTTAGGGCAATTCAAATGACCCTAGCGCTAAAACGCAATCAGATAAAAATGAGTCTTTAAACGAGACTTAAAGACTTGAAGGGATGGTGCCTGCCTAATGCTCAGTGGCAATTCGTTCCACAGAGTTGGAGCCAAAATAGAAAAAGCACGACAACCCCTCGATCGAAATTTTGACCGGGGGACCACCAGAAGTTCCTGCTCGGCTGAGCGAAGAGACCGAGATGGAGCATACCTGTTCAAAAGCGCAGTAATGTACGAGGGGGCACTGCCCTGAAGGGCCTTATAAACGAGAGTTAAGATTTTAAACTGAGCTCGATATTTTACCGGGAGCCAGTGCAGAGCATCCAGCACTGGGGTAATGTGCTCTCGACATCTAGTGCCTGTCAGGAACCTAGCCACAGAGTTCTGCACAAACTGGAGCCGTACAAAGGAAACCTTTCACTAACTGGAATAATGAACTGAACTGGGTTCAACTGGCGCGTTTACTTGGAGAAGTTTCTTGTTGTGACGGAGCGATATATGTAAATAAACTGAATTGAACTTTTCAAGGCATTGGTCAGAACAGTCCAGTTAAAATTCCTCGTGGGGAACAATAAATAAATAAATAAATTATGTTGACTTTTTTTCATTTGTAATTCTCAAAAATGGCCATGATGTTCATAAAAATGAACATCAGAATGTTCAGAGGCATCAATCAGCATCAACAACCTGCTTGAGACACAAATGTCCACAATAAATATGCTGTTGAAGGGTGGGTGGGGGTGTACCACAATCATTCCAAGGGCCGCAGGCGGCCCCTGGCCGCGAGTTGGACACGTCTGATCGAAAAGACAAATCTGGTGTAAAATGATGTTTATTCACTTTTTAATTGTATTTTTAGACTTGAAATAAATGATTTTGTAACCTGAATAAAACTCAGCAGAAGACTTCTAAAGCAGAAACAGTTATTAGTCACATAGTCACAACAAGATCTGTTTAATAATGTCCAAGGATTGTAGTTACCCACCTAACCCTCCCGCGTTGTTAATGGGGTCAGATGGACCTCTGGTGTATTTTTATTTTTTATTTTAATACTTTTTAAGGGGTGCATCACTTCACCCCTGCCAAGGCACAAACTTTAAACCCTGTTTAGCCACCCCCTGTCCTGGCGGGGTCACCTGAAAGGAAAGTGGAAGGGTTAAGTGGTGGAATTAGGTAACTTCTAATCTCCAAAGCAAGAAATTGCAAAAATAGACAAAGCTCTTTGTGCAACAGGGTCTTAAGGTGCTAAAAGAGCTTTGGTTTATAATTTGGCCTAAAGGAGGGTTATATCATCACTGCAGGTAAGGCTTAGAGGAGGAGGGATAACATCAAAATGAACTAATAAGCTGTCGGTCTTTCCTCTAGAATCGAACTGATGGCAGACACAGCCGTTGCAAAGCCCGCTGAGAAGAGGGCGCCACCAAAGTTCAAGCAGAGGACGACTCGCACCTTCAAGAGCAAGGCCCCCAAACCGGGGCAGAAGGGGTAAATAAGACTAGAAGATATTTGACAGACGTATGTCAGCAGATTCCCAGATGGTTGAGTCGTTTTGTTTTTCAGATTTGGAGACGACATCCCTGGCATGGAGGGTCTTGGTACTGACATCACGGTGATTTGCCCATGGGAAGCTTTCGGAGACATGGAGCTCAGCGATTTGGCCAAATACGGAATCATTTAGAGACAGACTCACCTCACCCATCGCCTAAAATTCTCCCGACTTTGTGTCTGTTGCACAAAAAAACTCCTCCTCTGAAGTGTCAAAGTAGCAACAGGAACTGTTGCTATCATTTAAATATGCTCCACTGAGCATTTTAATCCTTTACTGTCTGACTTTTTACTTTTAATGCTTAACTGTCTCTTCTTGTCTCCGTCTCCCCCCTCTGTGGAGCGATCTCTTGCACGTTCATTTGTTACAGACATATATTTATTTTTATGAACTCTGAATGTAAACAAGATCAAAGAAAAGTAGAAAAAGATTGCAGTTGATGTGATCTGTGACCGTGTAGCATTAAAGCTGCTGGGAGTTTTAAGGACTGTCTATTAAATTATGTACAAAAACTCTGGCACTGAAGTAATTTGATTCCGTTTTTCTTATTGTTTCATTTATTTTTCATTAGAATTAGAAAAGTTTGTATTTATGGAGTAGAATACCATTGACTTTCATTTTTCTAGTCCTTCCTTTGAATCTTCCTGATGGACCCTTTAATCACACAGCTGAAACAAAAATATTTCCTCTGTCCAGCCATATTACAATTTATTACTACAAAACATTTGACTTTTGGCATTTTTACTTTGCAAAACATATAAATTGTAGTAAAAAGTTTTAAAATGATCTTAACAACTTGTCTGGTGATTATGAATGTAACAAAAAAGGAGTCCCATTCTGTCCCGCTCTGAACTTGAGACAGTTCTCCACACCTTCATCTCCTCACGCTTAGACTACTGTAACTCTCTTTTCACGTGTCTGAGCAGAACCTCCCTGAACCGTCTGCAGGTGGTTCAGAACGCCTGTGCTCGGCTTCTGACCAAGTCCTCCAAACACACCCACATCACCCCGCTTCTCCTCCAGCTTCACTGGCTGCCTGTCAACTTCAGGGTTCATTTCAAGATCCTGGTTCTGGTCTATAGGGCCTTACATGGACAAGCACCATCTTACATTGGTGATCTTCTTAGTCCCTACACCCCCAGCAGGTCCCTGAGGTCCAGTGATCAAAGCCTACTGGTTGTGCATCACCAGGCTAAAGGTCAAAGGTGACAGATCATTTGCTGCTGTGGCCCACAGACTCTGGAACTCTCTCCCTGAGCCTGAGATCAGTGGACTCAGTGGTCTCCTTTAAAAAGCAGCTGAAGACTCACTTGTTCAAGCTGGCTTTTGTATGACCTTCTTCACCACTCTCTCTTTATTCTGCTCTCCCCACCTATTCCACCTTCCTCAGGATCCACTGGTTTCCCTCTTTCTTGTTCACTCTCTCTCTTTCTTAACATTTTTTTATCACAATTGTCTCTTTTTTGCTCATTTTAAATATATTTTTAACCATTTTCTAAATGCTTTTTATATTTTTACATTTTTTTGTTTTTGTGAAGTGCCTCGTGATTTTCTTCTTGAGGCGCTATAGAAATGATATTTTCTTCTTCTTCTTCTTCTTCTTCTTCTTCTTCTTCTTCTTCTTCTTTTCTTCTTCTTCTTCTTCTTCACATAAGCCAGCACACTAGTCTAATTTTCTTCATTAGAATTCCAGAGACTGGATGCAAATGAGCCGACTGCAAGTATAAAGAACAGTGAGTATGTTTTAAGTTCAATTTTCTGTAATCCTGCATTAAACAAATCAAAATCCATACATGCACTCAATACAGACTCATCATTCATGACCTTATGTTGCTTTTGTTGGACCTTGAGTCAGAGAATAAAGATGAAGATGATCCTCCTCAGCCTACTCGAAGTGCAGCTCAGGTTTTAAAAGGGAGTTCCTATTTCAAAGGACTGATGTTGTCTTAGCTTCCCTACATTGGCTACCTGTTAAATTCAGAATAGATTTTAAGATCCTCCTTCCCACATATAAAGCTCTTAATAATTAAGCTCCATCATACATCAGTGATCTGATTGTTCCATACGTTCCTAACCGAGCACTTCGCTCTCAGACTGCAGGTCTACTGGTGGTTCCCAGAATATCTGAAATTAGGATGGGAGGCAAATCTTTTAGTTATCAGGCTCCTCTCCTGTGGAACCAGCTCCCAGCTTTAGTCCGTGAGGCAGACACTTTGTCTACATTTAAGATTAGGCTTAAAGCATTTTTATTTGATAGGGCCTATGGTTAAAATCTGATGTTAGCCTAAATCAGGACAAGTGGGGGAGTAGAGGGAGGTGAGTGTACAGTCGGTAAAGACGGCTCTCCCTTGCCCTGCCTCCAACATGCCTCCATCTAAATAGGATAGATTATCCAGAGTTATCTCTGTAGTTATGCTGCTATAGGCTTAGACTGCTGGAGGATACACTAACCAATTTCCACACTCTACTGCTTTCTTCTGCTATCTGCTCTTTAACTGTATTACTTTCTGCAATTTCAGCTGTTAACTTTATTTTCTCTCTAAGTGTTTTTCTCCCCAGAAGAAGCTACAACGACATTCTGCGGAGCTGTGGTGGCCTCATGGAGGGGGCCATCGACTAGAACTCTGCTGCTAACCACTTAAACATTCTCCATCTCCTGATAATAACTTTTTGTTTTCCTTGACATTGGACGTTTTACTGCTAGTTTACCCATTTAATTAGAGCTCCACTAGGATAAATACAATAAAGTTTATCTCACCAAATAGAATATTTACTAAGACATCACAATAGAACTGTAGACACATTATTGTGCGTGCGTGCGTGTGTGTGTGTGTGTGTGTGTGTGTGTGTGTGTGTGTGTGTGTGTGTGTGTGTGTGTGTGTGTGTGTGTGTGTGTGTCTGCTCTGTCTTCTCGATCCCCAGTGAGTCATGGTGGATGGCTGCTTATACTGAGCCAGGATTCTGTGGAGGTTTCTTCCTGTTAAAAGGGAGTTTTCCTCTCCACTGTCGCTGCATGCTTGCTTAGTATGAGGATTGCTGTATAGTCACTGACACTAGTCAGTGACTTGATGCAATTTGCTGGGTTCCTTATATAGGAAACATTATTTCTGATTGGCTTAATGAACTGACCTGAATTGGAATGTTTATTATGTGAAGTGCCTTGAGACGGCTCTTGTCATGATTTGGCGCTATATAAATAAACTTGAATTGAATTGAATGTTGTCTGTCTGCATGAACCCCTTAGGCAGTTATATTGCATTTAATCATATTTATGTTGTTTGAATGCTTTGTAAACAATCTTTAGAATGCTGATGCTTTATTTTTGTCCACATAGTTTTGGCTGTGGATCAGAAATAATCAACATGACAGATATTAATAATAATACATACATTTATACATTTCTGACTTCTTTTTTATGCATCTGACTTTTAGGGGATATTTTGGTTGTTTTTAAATGTTTTATTTTTGAAAGATTCAGAAAAACAGGTTCTTAGCTCAGATCCAGAGTTTGGCTTAGGGTCCAGCACCTGACGAATGTAAACAGAATGGAAAGGAGAGCCACGGCATATTTTAGCCAATCACAGACGACCTGAAGGATAAAAGAGTCTGGTGAGCGTACGATGTGGTACCCAGGACACTACCAAAGAAGACCATAGACAGTAAGAGAAGGTTAGCTGTAAACATTTTCAAAAGGTTGTTAGTGACTGTGGCAAAGCCAGGAACTAACGCCATCTTGTTACCAGCCGGTAAAAATGCTAAAGTTAATTACTTGTTGCTCTGTGGAGAATTATTCCCCTCACCTTAAATATTTTATCCAAAAGCTTAATCTCAGACCAGAATCTAGACCACAACACATTATATTTGACCAAATGATCAATTCATTGGTTAAACCAAAAACTTTTTGAATGTAGTAAACATGAATGACCTCATTAATGCAGCCTAGACTAACCTGGGTCCAGATTGAGTTTCTAATGGGCCATTCCCATCTGTACCGGGTCGGCCCGGGCCGGGTATCCCCAGTCGGCCCCAGTCGGCCCCAGCCTGGCCCGGTTGATTCCACACATCCTTGTCTTAAGCCCATGTGGGCTGATTCTACCCACCAATCAGAGGCTTGCTCTAATGGAAGGTGTGAATTTGCTGTCAGCAGTGGGTGTGTTGGCCCTGGTCGGCCTGAAGCAGACCCCCTCGAGAAGAGGGCTGAGAATGAGCCTTGGTTGGCCCGGAAAAATACCAGGCCACCCAGATATGTAAACAACCTACGCTACCCGGCCCGGGCCGACCCGGTACAGATGGGAATGGCCCATAAGAGTTCAGAGTTTGAGAACTGCTAGCCTAGCTGTTAGCCTATCAGCCATTTAGGATAAAAGCTATTTCTCCAAACCGAGGCTGTTCAGAACGGTAGCAACTGTCACCAACTTTATCAAAAACACAAATATAAATGACAGAAAGTCTCTTTGAGCGTATTCAAGTTGGTGGGGATTGCATATACTATGAGTGGAACAACATCATTTCAAAGGAAAACAACCAGGAAGCGTATTCACAACAAAAGTTTTTATATAAAGCATTTTTTTTATAATGGACATTCAATAACAAAAACAACAAAATGGCAGTCAGAGGGAAACAGACAGGACAGAGGGACTGACCATTGAGAAACCATAGCAACTATGAAAAGTGACCACATAGTTCTCTATAATACAGCCTGGGCAAGAAAGCCATAACAGGAAAACAAAGCTGCCAAATGTTATTTTTGCAGCCACCATCTTGGTTTGTCACACGATTTTTTATTTATTTTTTCCCAGCAGCTCTGTGGTCTTTGTCATGTCGAAGCTGCCCGTCGAGTTTTAGAGGCGAAGGAGAGCAGCCGGGCTCTGCTGCTCACGGGTCAAAGGTGAAAAGACGATAGATTCATGCAAAACTTTTTTTTTCTTTTAAACTCGATAATTATCTTTCATGCTGGTTAGTCCATGCCGTCAGCGGCTGCAAAGGTCTGTTTTACTTTTTCACTGTCATCTCTTCATCTTGCTCTTCATCACAGGTCGGGAATCAGAACATGCCAAGAACGTAACATCTTTGGCTTGTGCCTTTTTTATTTATCAATTTAGTCGAGAGCACATTCTCCATTAATATCATAAAACTAAATAAAACAATAGAAATGTTACATGTCATGATTATAACCAAACATGTATTTTCCAAGTACGCAAACAAACAAACAGAAAATCGAAATATTTTTGAAACAGTCACATTTTTCATCAGGACAGGATTACAAACCTGCATAACACTTGTGGACATTTTACCTGGAGTTTTTTTTTAAACAAATTGGTTATTTGTGAGGCTTATTTACTGAAATGTATGGAATCTGCTTTAAGAACAACAATAAGAACTCAAAATAAGAAAAGAACGGAACACCGTGGCTTTTTAATCAGCGCCACAAACCTTTTATCAATCATCATCATCTCACCTGCAAACCGTGGACACACACACTCACACACACCCAAATATAATAATAAAATAAAAGAAATCCAGCTGTTTTCATATTTTGTGAAATAGAATAAAATGTCATGCCGGCAGATCCTATGCTCAATCAAAAACAGCAACAAAACAACAGCAAAAAACAGAATTATATAATCAAAACAAAAGAAAAATAACAACCCAAACCAACTAAACATTTCTGGGAAACAAAATCATTTTGGTGTCATTTCCTCTAAAATGCTAAAATCAGCTCAGAAATTTCAATCAAAAACTAAATCAAAATTAAAATTTGAACCTTACTTGAGAAGTAACAACACACATACATACATATATATATTTATTTATTTATAGATATATAGATACATTAAAAAAATCAGACAATGGAAAAACGTAAATAAAGACAGCTATATGATAATAACACACACAATATATTTATATTTATAGATATATATGGCAGAAAATGTGCTTTCTACAAATCTTTGGAACAAAAACAAACGCCAAAAAAAAGCCACGTTTTGGAAATATAGAATACAATAGTATAGAAATATGCACAATAGTCATGTGTTTTGCATTTAAATATCACTAAGAACCGGCTGGCTGGATCTCTGTCTTGCTCAGTAATCGCCGTTGGCAGCATCTTTAGCGCAACTGCCAACTAAGGTGTGTTTCAGGAAGACTCATCCATTACTGGACTCTATAAAAAGGTGAAGCATGAAGGGAAAACAAATCTAAATAATATCTGTCTCTACGTTAAAGGACCATCAGAGGCCTAGGCGCTGCAGGCAGGGGGGCTCTTTCACATGTAAACAAAAATAGAAATGTCTGCAGCGTAGTGTTTCACCTCCTGTAGTGTCTGATGTCTCGTGAAACCGTGTGTGTGTGTTTTATACATGCTGTAGGTGAAGGTGGAGTGTTTTCTGATTTCAACCCCCTAAAATTCACCAACTGCTCTGTCGCTGTGTAAAACAAAGTAATGATTTACTGAGTATTTATGAGAATAATCACAACAGCAATAATAATAATAATAATAATAACAATAATTTGGTAAATCGTTTTTTTTCCTCTAGACTAATTTCTTTGCATATCATAACATTTTTAAAGGTTTACCGTTTCCACATACTAAGAAAACTTGAGGTAAGGAACAGCTCTAACTAAACCCTCCCTCCTTCAGCTCCCCATCATCTCTCCAAGCTGCCAGTCTACCTCAAAGCAGCGTGTTCAGGACGATTCCTGAACCCCCCCCGCGGTGCTACTTCAACATCCTTCTGGTTTCAAAAGGTTTTCAGGGCCTTTCTCGTTCTCTACCTCTCTCAAGGCACCTCACCTCTCTACCACTCTGATGTTCGGTTGACGCCTCGTTCCTTTGCCTCCCTCCTGTTCTAATCCAGAGTGTGTGCAGGCCAGACTGTGCTTTTCCTCCTGCATGAGTGACAGCTGTTCAAATATCCAGCCTTTGGAAGAACATCTGGGCTCCGCCCCCAAATATTGTGCTGCTGAGTTGAGGGAATAAGAGGGGGAGACTATAATACAGCCGTGCAATGGGGAAGGTGGCCGTGTTCATTCAGATACTTTTTTTTCCTTCTTTTTTTTTTTTTTTGTCTTTGAAAGTAAAGGCCATCCTTCAGTCTTTAATACAGCATTCCTCTATTTCCGTAGACGTGTATATAAGAAAATGTGGGACTGTTCTGGGGGATCTATAATATCTTTGTTGTGGTCGACGCCACGCTTTTCAAACGGGGTGCAGTCCACCTCCAGGACAACAGGGGGAGCTCTTTCAGAGTATGTCAGTGGGAAGGAGGAGCTCCTGGGAAATATAGTGTCTTTAGTAAGGGGCAAATCTACTGTAGCCTCCCCTGTACAGCGTGGCCTAAGAAACAAAAGAACAAGAAGTTAGAAGATGTGTTGAGTCGGTGAAGAGTCATCGGTAAGTAGTCATGGAAGGATGTGCACTACGCAGCTGTGTTGGTAGAGCAGCCCGTACTAGTGCCGTTACGAGATTTAGTCTATGCTCGATTTTTTCATCATTGTACCAATTAGACGGGATCCGTTTAACACGGAGATGAACATTCATCTCTTCAGAGTCTACTTTACAAATATTTAGTTTAGTTTATTTCAAACAAAGAAAACATACATAATTTTTTTTAAATACCACAAACAGAAAAAATACATATCATCATCCCTTCTCTGTTTGAAAGGAGTAGGCTGAAGTGGGAACTTATATGTCCCTACCCCTTTATACAAGTAAGTTTTACTTGTTTACTAAATCTAACACAAAACCTACATTAAAACAAACAAAATGGTACAAGTCACCAAAAAACAACAACCAAAAACCACCAAACCATATGGAAAAAAAAACAAAAAAAGAAAAAAACACATCTTTTTACAATTGATACAATTTACTTTTCCTTAGAATAAAGGACACCCACTTAAATCATCGATTTTCCACTATATACTTGTTCAGAATGTGTTTTTTATAATTCATTTTAAACACATTTATATTTGTACTTACTTTGATTTCGTCTTCTAAATTGTTCCATAATTTAACCCCTATTATTGTGATACAAATCTGTTTTAATGTTGTTCTAAACTTATGGATCTTTAAGTTTAGTGTCCCTCTCAGGTTATTTCCTCCTTCTCTCTCTGTGAACAGTTTCTGTATTGTATCAGGCATTAATTTGTTTCTTACTTTATACATTATTTGTGCTGTTTTGTATTTAACCAAGTCCTGGAAAGTCAGAAAGGTTGTGAGTAAAGAATCGATCTCATTTATAATTCTAATATTTTTTTATCGTAATTATTAGATATCTTGAAAGAGCTACTTGGTTATTTACACAGATTGCGAAATTGTTTTTGACTTTTCTTCCACTAAAGTTTTTAATCCATAAATCCAAGTTCTTTATTCCAAATTTAACTCAACGCCAAAGAGATTTTACACTTTGAGCTTTTGATTTCAAACCGCTTTTTGTTAATCTCAAACCAGAAATTACAACAGTTGTAATTCTGCTTTCAGCCAGCAGGGGGGAGAAGTGGGGAAACTTTTTTTAGCATACCTTTAATGATATATTTAGAGCAAAAATCCTTTTTTTCTGTTTCTGTCAGTTCGTGCTTCATGTGTGGCACATTCCATCCTGTTCTTATCATATAAAAACACTGTTATGGGCTCGACACATGGGAGGCGACATCGCCTCCATTCATTTTCAATGAGACATGCGCGACAAAGCGATAATCACGGGTCTCCCTCCTACCAAGCGAAACGCGAAAAATGTGCGTGTGAAATTTTGCGCTCGTGCACGTGTCGTGCACAGGCGACTCAGCGACGCGATCCCAGAAAGTTGAAACATTTTCAACTTTTCATCGCTGTCGCTCGGACGAGGACCAATCAACGAAGGTTTCATTCACTGACCAATGAGAGGACAGGATGCTCCGTACACCTCCGAGCAAACATGAAGGAGAAGTTGGTTATTATTATGTTTTATAGTAAAATCAGAAGTAAGATTTCACATAACTCTAGCAGCACCTTGTGAAACATCATATCTACCGCTTTATTAACTCTGAACCGTTTAAATAACCTTAATTCCCTCCAACCTGACACAGCCAAACAAAACAACGGACGTTTCGATTTCGCCATGGAACAGAACGTGTCGGGTCGCCTCCCGTGTGTCAGGTAATGAAAGCGACAGCCACGAATTTCGCTGATCACGGTCGTTTGTCGCCTCCCGTGTGTCGAGCCCCTTACACTTAAAGATTAAATGGCAAATCTGCAAAACTAGCTAGCTCTTAAAAACCTAACATAGTATAGCTATAACTACATTGTGCAGATGATAAATAAATAAATGATTCTATTGTATTTGGTTGAAACCAACAACTGGACCACCCAGTTGTCTGTCTCGAACGTCCAGTAAACTTCCGCACTTTCCTGGGTCCTCCGTTCGTTACGCACACACATTTAACAACGCAACACCACTGGTGTGAGAGAATTGCGGCTCAGTAATATCAGAGAAGGAGAAACAGCCGGCTGCTACCACTTCAACTTTAGGACAAACTACCAGAGTCCCTATAGAAAACACCATCTGAAGTCACGGACAACAAAAGACGTTTGGACCTAGAAAACAGCAACTGGTGTTTAGCCCTTAAAGCTTGGTTTATGCTTGACGCATTCACTTTCCGCTTGGTGATGCGGCTCGTGGCTGGAACGCGCTTCACAACTCGCAGCGTTTATGGTTCATGCGGCTTGTCTCTGCGGTGAGCCAATATTCTCCCAAACTGTAGGGGGCAGCATGGAGCTCTAAAGCATGCATCCAACACTACACCACAGTAGAAGTAAAAATTACCGTTTACAACATGGCATTCCAGCATTTTTAACAGCGTCCTCGTCTTTTCCGACAGTGCGAGCTATTTCTCTCCAAGAATTATTAACAACATGTTGATCACGGTGATCTCTGAGAGCTGAATCATACAAATGTCTGTATTTACGAACCTCTGCCATACTAGTTCTTGCCAGTCCGCCATGCTGTTCCGCGTCCAACCGTCCGCGTGATTAGAAAATTTCCTAGGTGCGCGTTGCGGAAATTTTGGGCCGTGCGGAGGCGCGGTTGTTAAGATGACGCAACTTTTCCGCGCCGAGCCGTGCGGACCTCGCGGACGCGTCAAGCATAAACCAACCTTTAGGCCCTATATGCCTTTTGGGCCCTGGCGCCTCCCAACTGGGGGCCTTTGGAGTTTCATGTCCCAAGTGTCAGTGATTGTTTGCATTCCCCGAGCACAGCTACAGCTACTATCAAACCAGTTTAGATTGTAAACAAAGCAATTTTTGGTTTTTGATACATTAAGATAAAATTATACTTGGAACTTTATTTTAGACGAGCTGCCCTGTGGGAAAGTGCTGACAGGATGGAGGTTGTGAGTTCATTTTCCATTAAGGAAATGTAGTCAATTGTTTTATTTATTCCAGGGGTCCTCAACTAAATTTGTTCAAATAATTTTTTTCAGCAGACACCAGTGAAGGTCGGATGCTCTTCTAAAATAAAAGTTCACATATCATTGTATCTTAATTTATTACAATTTAAAATAGCCTTGTGTCCCATCTGGGCTGTTTTTAGTGGTGTTTGGAGAATGTGGACAGTTGTAGATGTTTGGGACATGAACCTGTAGAGGCCCCGAACTGGGGGTGGGGGGTGGGTGGGGGGGGGGGGGGGGGGGGGGTAGGGTTAAACAGCTTAGCACACTCTCGTTTCCTCTGGCATTGTGTGTTCCAATATTATTGTGCTTTTCAGCAAAATGTGTTACTGTTATATATTGCCGTGTGGTTGCCGCAGTAACATTTTGGTTGTGTTATGGGCCATTCCCATCTGTACTGGGTCGGCCCGGGCCAGGTAGCCCCAGCCTGGCCCGGTTGATTCCACACATCCTTGTCTTAAGCCCATGTGGGCTGATTCTACCCACCAATCAGAGGCTTGCTCTAATGGAAGGTGTGAATTTGCTGTCAGCAGTGGGTGTGTTGGCCCTGGTCGGCCTGAAGCAGACCCCCTCGAGAAGAGGGCTGAGAATGAGCCATGGTTGGCCCAGAAAAATACCAGGCCACCCAGATATGTAAACAACCTACGCTACCCGGGCCGACCCGGTACAGATGGGAATGGCCCAATAGGGTGCCTCCTCCTTTTTTATTCATTTTCTGCAGGTCTAGAAGCGGATTCTTTTACATCCTATATTGTGTGTGTTTCACTTTTGTGAATTGTGTCTATTAAAATAATTTTTTAAATCATTCAAAAAGGTTCATAGTTCACATAATGAAACTTGCAGAAACATCTGTGTTTTGATTTATTTGTGGGTCTCTCTGGGCGTTGTTTGCGTTAGCTGGCGACAGCTTGACCGTTGTACTGTGATCCGTTTACCAGCATGATATTTGATCTACCAGTGTCTGCTTTGACAGCTCGTTTCTAAACCAAACAGCCAGCATATGTGTGAAACAACCTGAATCCTGCTGGATGAGCAGAAGACGGGATGTGATAGGCTGATAATAAACATACCATGGCTCCAACGCCGTAAGCAGCTGGGGCAAGTGCAGCATGGTAAGGGTCCGCTGTGTAAACTCGTCCATAGCTGTGAGGAAAAAACAAACAGAAGAAAACACGTTTTAAAAAAGGAAAATAGAACTATTTATAAAATCTAACAACTAGAATGGTGAAATGAATACATTATTATTATTTTATTGGAAACTAGGGCTGTAGAACTAATGAAATTTTACTTTTAATTTTGATTTTAACTCAAAATCAGCAAAAGAACATTTAAATCAACCAATCGTAATTATTGTTACATTGACATGGATAGTTGTGCTTTTGTTTATTTACCTGAAGTTCAAGTTAAGAAGACAGAATAACGACTAAACCGGCCAGAAGCATCAAAAACTACACCACAACTCCTCCATATTTTTCTACACGTTTTTCTTCCAAAGCACCAACACCCCAAAAAAAAACACATTTTCTCTAACTGACTTCTAGAATACCCTTAGCAGCTTTTCTCTGCTTTTGTAGCAGCACTCTGCACAAGTGGCCTTCGGGGACTGACTAATCAGGTAGAAACTAACTTTATTGGAAGATTTTGATTTATTTCTTATCCCAAACAAGCCTGAGACTTTCTGCGTGACAGGAATCACTTCAGTCTCATTAATATTTACTCATAACAACTAAATGGATCAACTCAGCCATCTGCAGGCTCCTTAAAATGTGCATCTGGATAATGCTTTCCAACTAAATAATAGTTATCAGATATTCAGGATGCTACCCCGAGAGGTCCCCTCACCGTTGTTCATGGACGTAATTTTCACTTTAGGGGGGGGGGGGGGGGAGAGACACGGGGGGGGGGGGGGTATCTTTACAGTATGTTCCAATGGGAAACAGGCTTCAACACAAATGGTTGTTTTCCGCTTGTTCCTAGAGCTCAACCACTGTCAATTTAATATAGCGTAATATTGTTCTTGAATTGTAAAAAGTGCAGGGGTCAAAACTTGATTTTGGAAAAAGTGGGGGGGGGACATGCCCCCCCCCCCCAAAAAAAATTACATCCATGCCGTTGTTGAGTGTAAATGTGGACTGACCTGTCGCTGTAAGCTGCCGCTGCAGCGGCGGCTGCTGCTGCAGGAGTCGCTACAGCAGCCGGCTGGGCGTAACGATACGCTGCATAGCCACCCTGTGGGGAGGCGACGGGAGGAGGAAGACAGAGAGAAAATACAGGCAGAGGTGGAGGGGAGAAAAAAACAACAACTTTTGTTCAATGCTTGCTACATTTTCTCTGCAGAGGCAAAAACTAGCAGTGAATCTAAAGGGTTTTGTTGTGAGGGGGGAAACTGCTGAGAAGAGCGAAATATTAACAAGCAGACAGTCAGCAAAACTGGCTAATCTGGTGCAGTACAGCATTCACAAAGATGGAGCTCTGGCTCTGAGTGGCTCTCTCACTCTGTGACTAACTCAGCAGAAAAGACCCGTAATTATTATACGTCAGGCTTTTTACTGTTTGCAGCACCGACGTGATTCGTCTTCATCACCGTGTTAGACAGAGAGGGAGAGAGGGTTCACAGCCGTAAATGTCCCCAACCGCCGTTCCCTCCCAGAGACGCGTGGTCAGAGGAAGGGGAAGGGGTGGCAAGGCGATTGTGTCATTATTTATGTTTGGATGAACAGCTGATGAACAGTCACACCAAAAATAAATAAAAAACTACAGGTGTCAGGAGATTAAAACAGAGCAAACACACACACTCTCACATGGCCAGCAACCAACCACTGACAGACACAGCATGCTTTCCCAAATTCAGAACAAGTATTAGGTCAACAGAAACCCTACGAAATTAAAGAAATTAAACACACCACTGCATTCTACCCTAAAGAATCAGTCACGACCAAGTCCCTGCATTCAGGACCACACATTTGCTGCTATGGGAGGAAGGCTAGACTGGGTAAGAGGGGGAGGAAAGGGAGGACAGAGAGAAGAGAGAAGAATAAGACAAAAAAAAGAGGAGATATGAGAAAATCTAGATGATAAACGAGGTAATTTTTTAAAGAAGGAAAAGATGGAGTGAAAGTAAAAGAGAAGTGGATTTACAGAAAGGGGGACTAGGAGAGACGGGGGAAGTCAGCCTTGTGAGTATGTCTGCATGCTGACACTGATTCAGTTAGCATGCCACAGGTGAAACAGATAGGGAGATTCCTGGAAGGGGTCTGAATATTCTGGTCCTACAGTGCATCCCTCTGACTGCAGACTACCATCCCACTGCCAGGCTGCAGCTTTTCCTCTCTAGTTCTACGTCCATTTAATGATCAATCAACACTGCATCTGAGTAAATATCAGGGAACCTGCGACCATCCACGTCTGCATGCAGAAAAAGCTCTGACTTAATTTGTCTGAGTAAAATATTCTTATTTTCTCCTTTTGTTCTAAATGTTTATGTCGAAATATCAGTCAGCTGTCTCACTTTCACTAGTTTAGCTGTTTCTGCTTTAGTTCTGTAAAACAATTCATGCACAGTTCTGACAGATGTATTTTTAAGAACACATTGTAAAGAATAAACTAAAGTGAATAAATTTGTATGTAAGGTTAATGTTTTCTTATTATTAAAATACATAAACCTTTAGAGCGTTTGGATTTGAGCAGACTAACATGTAATGTCTTTGTCTTTCTTTAAGATCCTTTAAGGCTTCCAGAAAGATCCAGTTTGTGGTTTCTTCAAAATATTTTCAGATTGTTTTCTGACCTGAACTATTAATACATTAATACAATTATTGATACATAATGAGGCTCATGAGCTCTGATCAGCAGACCTGAAGTAGAAAACCATTTGATTTCCACAGAAAATGTGTTTTTATACTAAAGACTGTTTTAGATGTAACACACTCTCTAAGCTTGATCACTTCCTGTCTGATAAGATACATAAAATATATTAATAATGAAGACATGTTTCCTTGATGATCTCCCGCTTAGTTCTGTTTATGTGAGTTTGTAATTTACACAAAATATATATTAATCCTTAATTCAGGGTAAATGTGTTCACACCAGTTACAATTAAGAAGCTAATTAGTGGTAGCTCTTGTTTTGTCTTTTAGGTTTATGTGGATGCCTTTTTCAGTAACTTGGAAAACTGTATACAAACTGTATACAACTGTATTTTCCGTTACAAAAGAAAAAAAGTCATATATATATATATGTATATATACACACACACACACATATATATAATGTATGTATATATATATATATATATATATATATATATATATATATATATATATATATATATATATATATATATATCTTAGGGCCAGGACTTTAACACGTTAATTACGATTAATTAATTAGAAAAAATAAACGCGTTAAAAAATAATTAACGCATTTAATCGCAGCTTGCATTTCAAGCATGGCGGAACCTTTGTCATTGCACGATTTCCTCGTAGACTGAATATCACTGATGCACACAGCAATGCACAGTGCTAATGGCTACTAAAACGTAATAAAAACAGAAAGAAGTTGCCTTGCTTGGACTGATGCAGGATTTAGGAAACACGTCCACCTCTTTTCTTAACTTGGAAAAAAAAACCTTCCAGACATCAACGGAGTCCGTGTCGCGGACATTTTTCAGAGATCGTCTCTGCTGCAGCTGCCCGGTGGCAACGGGAACTTTACAAAAGTTGCGGTAAGCTAAATTTTTAACATTTACGTAACATCTGTGCAGCGCTGAAAGCACCAGACAGAATAATTCTGTGCCCTAACAGTAGTTTATGAAAGTAGTCAGACTAACGAGAGGCACCTGGCTGCCGCTGGGAGAACGCTCCGTGTTCTCACTACTCTGTAAACAATCACAAACAACGTGTCTTAAAGTTGAAAACAGAAGTTTAAGTTAAAACAGAAACACTCTGAAACTTTTCTGATGATTTTCTAAACAATTCTATCGGGGAATTATATGTTTCTGAGACGAGTCTCTGTCTAAACATCATCGCATGCATTACTATCATTAAGCAGCGAGGTGTGTTGAAGCTGTCATCAGCTAAGGGGCGGATGCTTAAGTGCATCAGGGGCAACGAGGAAGTTGTGATCAGGCTGGAGATCACACCAGATTCGCTGCTGCAGGCGTGAATCTGCGGGTCTGCAGCATCCCTTCTTAACGTGACATCAGGACTTCCCATGTAAGGAAGGTCCACTCACCTGTTCGTCAGATCATTATTTCCTCGCCATGATCTTTTATCATCCCATCAACCTCCAGTCATCCAACTGGAACCAGTTAGTGTTCCTGATCATTCTCAGAATATGTCATGCCTGCTCTGGTGTTAAAAGTTAGTACATTTAAGTCCTGGATCATATTTGTGCCTGTTCTACTGTCATTTTGAAGGATTATTATTTTTATATGTGTGTTTTTACTACATTATGAGTAGAAATGCTAAGAAAAACTCCCAGTTATACAAACAAGTGAAACTGGAAAAATTAGAATCTGGTGCAAAGTCAAATTTATTTCCGTCATTCAACTAGACAGAGACTATTTAAAGGCTCAGGAACCCTTTGCCGGTGTTTTCTATTTGTAATTATAAATTTTAGTTGATTTGGGCTTTGTTTCATATCACACAGTGACATTTGAATAATTAAAATGCATTTTTTATTAAAAGCTTTAGTTTACAGTAATAACCATGTCTAATGTTTGATTCTCTGTCTCATAATTTTAATTAAAAGTTTTACTTTGAAAGCACATTTTCCTGAACGATTAAAATGCGATTAATTGAGATTAATTAATTACAACGCCTCTAATTAATTAGATTAAAATTTTTAATCAAGTCCCAGCCCTAATATATATATATATAAAACATGTGGATTCATTATACATTTCCTAATTTCTTGCATTTTAGGAGTTTGTGTTTTTATTTTCAAACATTTTGTTTAAAATGTTAGAAATTCACTGACTGAGATAAACATTCTAAAAGAGACAATAAGGCTTTAATTCATTCATTAATAGTTTTATGAACTAGACAGACAAAAACAAGCAAGAGAAAATATGGATCAAGGTCCTTTTAGAAAACTTAAAGCAAGTCTGTCTGTTTGGGTCGGTTTAGAACATTTGCACAGAACTGATTATCCCCAGACTTCTGCTGCATCGCTTTGTAACGCCATCCCCGTCATTCTGCACTTCTTCTGATCAGAAATCCGATTTTAACTCAATTCTTTTCTCCCCCTTCCGTAACTCCACCCATGTCAGAATCCAGTGAGTTAGTAGAAGAAGACAGAGAAGGCATTTCAATCTCAGATGGTCAATAATGTCTAGCAGCACGCAGTCATTGGAGACGAGGATGCACACTGGCTCTCACACGGAGTGTGTAAAACCCTACCTGGGGCAATCTGCCACTAATGTCCTGAAACACTAGTCTACAGAGAGAACAGAAACAGCTATGGTCAACCTGGTCTCTCTCTCACACACACCATCACACACAGGCACACACGCATAATCACATTGGTACAAAACACTCACGAATGCACAGAAACAAACCCTAGAAGAGTCTACTGGTGGACGATTTAAGGTGTGTGAGCTGCACAGGAGCTATGCTTCTCTACAGAGTAAGTGTAACACATCGTCTGTTTCACTAATAAAACTTAATCTATAATTTTAGATTCAGGGATGATAAAAAAACATGGATCAGTGATGAATCAAAAGTGCCAAAAGTACACGCCTCTATGGGTTTGATCCGTGTTGTTTCACACTTGAAAACCCACAGGCAAGAGGGAGAAAACGTAGGTGACGAGTGAGGCAGTGGACGAGAGACAGGCATACTTACGTAGAGGTCGGCTGCACTGTAAAAACCATCCTGATAGGCCATCACACTGAGAGGGAGACAGGTGACAAAAGGAGGAGGGAAGGCAGAGAGTACACCGGAGGCGGTGGTGGAATGGCAAAAACAAAACAGGGGGATGGAGAAGGAAGGGGAAAATAAACGGTGTGGTGCGCCATCGTGTGGACAGAGCAGAAAACAACAAACAAGAGTTTCAGGAGGGAGGGAGGGGAGAGGAGGTGAGAAAATGGTGCCAAAAAGATGGTGAGAGAGAGAAGAGAAAGAAGGGTGAGATTATTACACACCGTGCAACATGCAAAGACAAAAATACCACCTCTTTGTATACAGATGCACCGACTTTAAAGTGTTACTACTCATACTTCAGTCAGTGAGACAAAAGAAAACCCGGCTCAGCTATGAGTCCTACATGAGCCTAAAGCTACAAGGAAATGGTATTTCAGCTCAGCAAAGTCTCATTAAACCTGTTCCAACCACACCGCATGCTCAACTTTACATCACTAACCTGATCAGTGAAGTCATGCTTCTAAAGAGGTTTGCACTTTTTTCATTACAGGAAGAGTGTGTTTACCCGGGGTACGCGGGGATGGCCGGTTGCGGGACAGCTGCTCTAACCGCGCTGTAGACGGGCCGAGCTCGACCCCGAAGGTGAGTGCCCCGAAAGGTGGCTGCTGCGGCGGTGGTGGCGGCGGCCGCAGCTGCTGCTGCTGGGTAAGGGAACCCTGGAACTGGAGGAAAAAGGACAGGGATTAAGATCCTACCAGCCGCTTCTAGCTGTAGCACTTCCTGTGCAGCCTGGGAAACTTCCTGCGGGAATTGTCCCAGCTCTATGCCCACACTTTCCCAGAAGGCACTGCAGCACTGGTACACAAACATGTTATGACATTATAATTTATGTCATATTTACTACAAGTGTGTTGTTTTACGGTTTGGTTATGTTTGAAATTTAACTCCCAATGAATTAAGTGTCCAAATATTTGACTCCAACTGCTCACTATAAAAGTAGCAGATTACGAAAAGCATAAATATCCGTTAGAGCTGGGGTTCTACGTCCTGGTCCTGGAGGGCCGGTATCTAGCATGTTTTTGTTGTTCATCTGCTCCAACACACCTGATTCAATGGTTGAACCACCTGTTCTGCAGCTCACCAGGCTCTGCAGACGCCTGTTAATCACCTGCTGATTAAAATCAGGTGTGTTGAAGCAGGGAAACAACAAAAACATCCTGGATACCGGCCCTCCAGGACCAGGATGCAGACAGTTGAACTGACTGTTTTTGAGTTTGGTTTCATCGATAAAGACGGTTCTTCCTAACTCACCGGTGTAGAGTTCTGGGCTATACATGGCTCCAACCATCGGGCTCAACTTCCAACCAGCTGTTGAAATAATAATAATGAATGCATTAAAATACACTTACAGCGACTTTTTCTCACATGTTTTTTTTTTTGTCCAGAGTGGATCTAAATGGTAAATGGCCTGTGTTTGTATGGCACCTTCTTCTACAACCCCCCAAGGCACTGCACAACACAGTTAGTCATTCACCCATTCACACACACATTCACACGCTGGGGATAAGCTACAATGTAGCCACAGCTGCCCTGGGGCACACCGACAGAGGCGAGGCGAGAAAGGAGAAAGGTCACTCAGGAGAAAGGTCACTCTATCCAGTCCTTTGTGTCCTGTGTTAACGAGGTGAAGTCTTGGCTAATGGCCAACGTTCTACATCTGAATGAGGGAAAGACAGAGCTCATTGTTTTTCACCCCAACAGCAGGAATGTGGGTCGTTATGTTGATCTTGGCCCTCTTTCTCCCTACTCAAAACCAGTTGTTACCAGTTTGGGTGTGAAAATTGATGCTGGACTTAAATTTGAGGCTCACATCAACTCAGTGATCCGGTCCAGTTTCTTTCACCTGAAACGCCTTGCAAATATCAAGCCTGTGCTGTCGAGAGCCCACCTGGAGCGGGTACTGCATGCCTTTGTTATTTCTAGGCTTGATTACTGCAACTCTCTCTTTGCAGGGTTGTGTCAGTCATCACTGCGTCGCCTACAGGTTGTGCAGAACAGCGCAGCCAGGTTCCTGACTGGGACCAGGAAACTGGACCACATCAGTCCGGTTCTGGCCTCCCTGCACTGGCTTCCCTTTTGCTATCGCTCACAATTCAAAATCCTCATCTTTGTTTATCATTTCTTCCAGGGTGGTGCTCCCCCCTATCTAGCCTCACTCCTGAACAGACATTCCCCATCACGCGCTCTGCGCTCCTCTGAATAAGGCCTGCTCGCTGTCCCTCGTTCTAGGTGTCGTATTCGCGGGGACCGGGCTTTCTCAGTCCTAGCACCGTCACTCTGGAACCAGTTGCCACCCTCAGTTAGGCTGTCCCCATCTCTGCCAGTCTTTAAAAGTCACCTAAAAACACACCTCCTCCGCTTGGCGTTTCCTGAACATGTTTGATTTTGGCCCTCTTTTACGTTGAATTTCTTTCACAGTTTTCATTGGTTCACTCTATCCATTGTTTTACACATCTGTCCTGTACTAGAATGTTTCACCTTTTTTTGTAATTTGTATTTTGTAATTTGAATTGCTTTTATTTTTGATTTATTCACTATATTTGTACTTCTACTGTACCATGTTCAGCGCCTTGGGCTTCCTGACAGGGTTGCAGAAGGCGCTTTATAAATAAAGCTTTGATTGATTGATTGATTGATTGATTGATTGATTGATTGATTGATTGAAGTATTTGGGTGTCAGGCTAGATCTGTCCTTTAAAAAGCACATCCAGTCAGTCACAATCAAGATCATCTTTAGGTGAAAAACCTTTTATTGCACAATTAACTGCTCTGATTGTTAAAAAAAAAACATATTGTTCCTCAGCTTCTATTTCCACTGTTAGATTAAGCTGATGTAATCAGACCTCTACCACTTCCTCTCTTGACTATTAATATTATTTATAACAGCTTATGTTTAGTATTGCATTGTCTAATTAGAACCCATCACTGTCATACGTATGATCATCTGTCCTGGCTTTTGGTTGGAGCTAGACGGAAGGTTCGCTGGTTGCTGTTTGTTTTTAAATGTGTTCGTTTTATTTCTCATCTTTGCTAACACCGTTCCACTCTCAATACAATATTAACAGCGCTGATCAAAGTTCCTTTGTTGTACCTCGTTTTAAAAATGAGTCGGGTAAGCTGGCTTTTTCTGTCAGAGCTCCAACGGACTGGAACAACTTACCAGCTGCTCTAAGGTCCATTACCTCCTTTCATTTGTTTAGATCTTTTGTTTCTGAGCATGTTACCCTATGATTGATTTTTAATATCCACTTGATCTTTCTCTATATGGTCTTTTGTGCTTTTTATTCATTTTTAATTTATTCACTGAAGAGTAAAAGACAGTTTCAGTGGCATGTCCAGATTTTTTTAAATGGGGTGGCCCAGGTGAGGCACAACTTTGTGCATGGGTGGCACCAATGGTTATGCTTTTTTTTTTTTTTTGCTTTACCCCCAAGCTTTTTGTGGACAATGAAAATCCTATTTAAAGGTAAATTAGTGTGGTGGCACCTGGGGTGGCCAATCAGATTCTAAGGGTGGCATGTGCTACCCCAGGCCACTCCCTGGACACGCCCCTGGACAGTTTTCAGGATTGCTTTGGATTTTTTTGCCTACACAAGTTTAAGGTGCACCAGGACACTGTTTTGTTTTAGTTTGTGATTAATGTTTTAGAACCGCCTTTAACTCTGTTATCTTGATTTCTATTTGTTGTACGTTAAGAGGACCCGCTCGAAAACGAGACGGTACATCTCAAGCGCTTTAATCCATATGTTCATAAATACATACATAAATCAATTACAATTTTGCACAATAAATTAGCATAATTTCAATATAACATCTTGCAAAATGTGTTAGTAATATTTGAGGGTTAAAAAGGGAAATGAATTAGTAATGAGTGGGTACCATATGGTAGTGCTGCGATGCCCTCGCCATTGGAGAACGGTGTGGTTATCTTCTTGTTTGTCATCACTCTGGCTGTGGCGTTATTGACCTGAGTAATGAAAAAAGGTTTAAAGGGCATGTTCAACACATTTTACTGGATACAGAATAGCTGGGGAAATATATATATGTGTGTTTAAATCAATAAATCTTATATTGTAGATGTCTGCTTCTCGTGTGAGGTGTCGTCATACTTGAGCAGTTTTTTTTTTACTCATGATGGGGGTTAATTCTGCTGATGGGCAATGATGGTATTGGATGCATGCGCTTCTTTTGAAGAAGAAATACATAGAAAACAAGAATTTTGGTGAGAATTCAGGCAGTTTTGCACACAAACAATGCAACCATTGGCACACAGAACAGAGAAAAAATGTTCCAGAGCAGAGGCATTCGAAAACAAATCCCAGGCTATTGTATCGCAGCTAAAAGTAAAAAGAAAAGGGGGAAAAGGTGAAATACGCAGCAGATTCATCAGTTGAACACAATGCAAAAGAAAATATTTAAAATGCATTAAAGAGTTCATACACAAATTACACACAGCCAATCATGAGCGCATCGCATCGCCGGAGGTGAGCAAAACCAACCAATTAGCAAGCATCAGATGCAGCAAGAGACAAATCATAACAAAAATCAAAAGGTTGGAAGCCCTCCCAATCAAGTTCACTTCATACAGAAGAGGAAGGAGGGACAAGAGAGAAGACAGAAAAAGGGGGATGCTCAGGAAAGTGCCAGTCCACATGAAAAGACACAGAAAACACAGACATGAGGTGGGGAAGAGAGGCAGAGAGGGTGAACGATCCATCCAAATCCAAGTGTGCAGTTCTTCTAACAAACTAGAAGATGCGACACGCATTCAACACACATCCGACCGTTCGCCTACAATGAATCTCTATCTGTACAGGAACAATGATGGAGAGATGATGAATGGTGCAATACAGAGAGAGAGAGAGAAGAGGCAAGATAAGAGGCAGAGAGGATGGGGGATGCAAATATCATTCCTCAAAAAAACATCAAATCAAAACAAACCAAATCAAAGCAAACCGAACCTTGGCTGTGAAACACTGCCAGGCATTTCAGATCAGTGTCACACACCAGAAACGACCACCGACACAAACCATCCAGAACCAAACTGATCAAAAAGTGAAATCAAGGACACCTCGTCACAGAAATCAGAACAAGGAGAAGCTGTCACTGCTGGAAACGTTCCTTCAGGTTCGCTACGAATTTCTTTTTCTTTCTCAATTTCATTACATGAGCAGCTTTGCTTTCATTTCACTGAAGGCGTTTTTTCACCCAAAGCTCAATTTAAATATGAACTCTGCAAACCTGTAACTCGACAACAGTCCACACAATTGGAACAGGAAGTGATAATCAAGCACGACAGCATAACATGATACACAGACAGCTATTATCCCCTCTCCAGTAGAGCTAACGATAGCACTCATGCTGTAGCATGCCGTCCCACTAAGAAGGTGCAAGAATGCAGCTATTGGCTGACACATGACACAGAGAGATGACATAGTACTACATGACGTCACACAGATGCCTAGAGAGAGAGTAAACCATGCAGGATACAGCTCTGGATTTAAAAACTGAATGCAGTTAGAGAGGTGATTGGCATGAATGCATTGAGTGCTAGTCAAGAGTTGTTGCACTTGCAGATAAGATGCAGCACATTCAGTAATACAGGTGGCCTTATTGGAATGCCATGCGGTCAACGGCTAATCTCATAAACAGTTTCATTCACCACCTCCCCGTTCAATCACAAGATTAGCCAATCAGCTTCTATTAATCATCGAATCAACCGTCCATCGTTTGGGTGCATTTTTTATTCCGTTTGGGCGAATGGGGTTGGGGGGGGAGGGGTCATTCAAAGATGATGCCATGTGTACACAACTTACCGTGGCCAGGGAAACGGCGTGAGGACACGCGAGCAGTTACCGTGGAGACTGACAACAACAACAACATACAAAAATCATCAGGGAAATCGAGAAAATATGCGTAAGAAACAAATGATGAACCAATAAGAGTCAAAAAAGAAAGAAATAAAAGTGAGGGACGGGGCGGGGGACAAACAAAATGAGGTGATGAAAGGCAACCCCCACCCTGTGGTAGAGAGGAAGTGATGTAACAGGTCACAGGTCAACAGTCACCTACAAGGGTCAGCCAACAACCTGGTCTCTAAGAACCCTCTAAGAACAAAGGAGGAATGAAAATAAGAAATGAAATAGCTGATAAAAAAACATCCCTCAGAAATGAAAATGCTGCCTTTTCTCTGACGTTTGTGCTGCCTGACTACATCCCAGGACAGGAAATGGACAGAGATATGAGGGGAAGGATGGAGAGCTGCAATTCAAGTGCATATGTGGACATAAACTGGGAGAGTGACAGAGAGACAGACAGACAGAGAGACAGACAGACTGGCCTGGTGAAAAAAGAGAGGAAACAGATGGAGGAGAACCTATAAAATGAGAATAAAGAAAGGAGAGGGAACGGCAGCTATCTACGACATTCTCTTCTCTTCTGTCTCCCGCCCTCCATCTTCTTTTCTGTTTGGTAAATCTGCACACCCACACACAGACACAGAGAAAGAGTGCAGGACATCCAAGACCCATGCAGAAGAGCTTCAGCAGGAAGTCAAAATCATAATTAAAAGCATGAATTTAAGATCAAGAGCCAGAGCAAATGGCAGAAGCATGGCGCGTGTTGGATCTCTGAGACCATTTGCAACCCAAATCTGAGCTCATGCTGACAAACCAAAAGCAAACATGTCACGACAAAATGCACTTCCATGAGATCTGGTGTGTTTTTGTTTATTTTTTCACCAGGAGGGGTGGATGCAAGGTGTGTGCAAACAAGTGGGGTTCCTTCCGTTTCACCATCCAGCTTGCAGATCTGAATTTCTTTTTTTTTTTTAAAGAATCAGAAAACTTCTCACAGCAAATCCTCCCCCCACCTCTGAAAATGCCCCATCATGCATCAGTCTCTGAGCACACCAAACAAAAAATCTGCAACCACAACGAGGTCGTCTAAAGTGGCCAAATGGGACCTTATGTTCCAACCATGCGACATACAGCAGCCCCTCACAGACACCAGCAGGCATTAGTTTGGTTTTTATTTACACCCCCCCCCCAGAGGAAAACAGAGGCTTTTAATAGCCCCCTCTAGTCATAAACACAATCAGAAACCAAAGTAAAGGTCACTCATCATGATCATGGAAGAAGTGATGATGGGAATGGAAAAGGTGCAGGAAAACAACCAAAAACAACGGATCCTACATGCTGTGATGGAAGCAGAAACCGCCGTGTCGTAGTGACGTCCCACCAGCCATGCCTGTAGTGTAGCGACCTCACCCAGCAAGCTTCACAAACCACGCACGCAGCCGTTTTGTTTTCAAGATCAAGGTGCAATGGACAGCCCACAACACCAACGACAGTAACAACATAGACAGGAAGAAGTGCCGTCATATGAGAGAGAGAGAGAGAGAGAGAGAGAGAGAGAGAGAGAGAGAGAGAGAGAGAGAGAGAGAGAGAGAGAGAGAGAGAGAGAGAGAGAGAGAGAGAGAGAGAGAGAGAGAGAGAGAGAGAGAGAGAGAGAGAGAGAGAGAGAGAGAGAGGCGCACGGCACCGCTGCACCATGCTGCAGTGAAGGCAGAGGGGGGAGAGCTGAACACAGAACAGCCATCCAGAGACCTTCTCTGGGCCAGAAACAACCAGAATCTGCTCACTGTCTGGATGGGGGAGGGAGGGACGAGGGGGGAAGAAAATGGCCACTTCTGTTGGGGGGCAGCTTACCTCGATTTTACGACCCTCCACCAGCGTGCCATGAAGCTTCTCTCTGGCTCTCTCTGCATCTGAACTCGCCTCAAATGTTACAAAACCAAAGCCCTGCATGGGGGGGGGTCAGCAAAAGGGGAGGTAAATAAAAACACCATGCTGTTGTGATGATGCTCTTTTGTCTTGAAAAGC